CTTGTTTCATTTCTTTACCTCAGCTGCTTCTCCCCACCTGTATGATTTTGATGCAAACTCCAGACATCTTATCAGAGTTTTTTAATACTTGGTAAGAGTATTCGGCATTTGTGTATTAGCTTCATTTCTCTCTGTGTTACCAGGGTTCAGAAAGACAAGCAAAAACTGGAGCTACTGGGCAGCGACTAAAGGAAGCCACAAAAATCAATCTTTCCCTGTCCACCCTCGGAAACGTCATCTCTGCGCTAGTCGATGGAAAGAGCACCCACGTGCCGTATCGTAACTCTAAGTTGACTCGCCTCCTTCAAGACTCTTTAGGAGGAAACTCAAAAACCATGATGGTAAGATTCTATTGGTGGTATAACGGATGTAACCGATGTATGTCAAAAACAGTGTTTTTTAAACTAATGACCATTTCACTTTTAAAAGATGTGGTTGTTCTTTGTGTAGCATACCACACGTACTAACTCCTTAATGGTGTTTAATTTGGAAAGCCCCAGGATGCACGTACGCTTCAAAAATGATTGTTTAGAGCAGAGCTGGGGACCATTTGGATATTTACAACCTCATTCTCGGGCTGTACTGGTCAAACATTTAATTCACTCACCCCTAATGTGATGGCTGGAAGTGCTTCTCTTTGGTGAGGCTTGTGATGCTAGATGGTATTAATGGGGATGATGAACTTAGTGGGCCTTATAAAACCCTAGAGCTGGATGTTCCCTACCCCTGGTTTGGATCCTAAGTTCCCAGACTTACTTGGTCTATTGCCCACTATTCAGAAAAAGAAGTAGAAATGACTCCATGCCTTCCCCAGCAATGAAAAAGTTGTGTGATAGCCCTTACTCTAGGATGAAGTATAAGAATCTGTTTTTGCAGCCCTCCAGGGGTGATACACCCACATTGTAAAACACTGGCTTAGGTAGATTTATAATAGTGATTTCTTAACTGTGTCAAATATCAAGTGTTTTACTTTGTATTATTCCTAATTTTCTATAGTGTGCAAATATTGGGCCAGCAGATTACAATTATGATGAAACTATCAGTACGTTACGCTATGCCAACCGTGCTAAAAATATCAAAAATAAAGCTAGAATTAATGAAGATCCAAAGGATGCTTTACTTCGTCAATTTCAGAAAGAAATAGAAGAACTGAAAAAAAAACTTGAAGAAGGTAACTTTTATTGATTTTCGTGTTAGCAAAAATTATTCTAGTCTAAATAGTGGGTGTTCTAGCAAAAACCATTACAAGTTTTTTGAGTCTCTGACAATGATATTTGATATTTAAAGGAATATTTGTAGAAGTTAATTTGATACTATGTGGTTTAACATTGCATTGTTAAACTCAAGTAAAACTATATAATGTTTGTGTTTATGATTTTTTATAAACAGTACAGTAATTTGATTTAAACCCCAAACCCTATTCTTAGTATCTTTTTTAGATTTTACATGACCACTTCTTAAATACTAATTTTTTATTTATCTCTGTATAGTAGCAGGTTCAATTGTGTATGTATTTAGGTGAAAGCGAGTAATTTTGCCTTTGTAATAGATACCAAGTCTAATTTTGAAATACAATATCAATGATGGATAAACCATGTTTATTGTAAGTGGCAACTCATTGCATGGCCTTGAATTATGATTTCATGCTTAAATCTGAGCATAAAATTAAATTTTAGAAATTATTTTCTAACAAAGTACTATTAAAGATGTTGGAGCATCTGAAGCCCTTACTCATAAGGGTGAGAAACTTCCCAGACAACATCAAGTGCTTAGGGAGTCCCTCCTCCTTCATGCTAGGACCAGGTGTTTTCTGGTGGCAGATTAGGGAAACAGCTCCGACACTCCACCCCTGCCCTCAGTGGGGAACAGACATACCAGCATCACAGATGTTTGGAAAAGTGGCTGACTCAATGAAAGCAATCATTAATCTGCCTCTCTGATAATGAGATTAGATGTTTTAAATGTGGCCACTAGGTGGTATGTCAAGCCAATATGTTTTAG